CTCTCTCTCTCTCTCTCTCTCTCTCTCTCTCTCTCTCTCTCTCTCTCTCTCTCTCTCTCTCTCTCTCTTCCCTGGACGAGACAAAGAAACATGGATGGCGGTGTGCAAAGCCTTCCCCTAGAGGACAGACCCTCTCCAAGCCGAGGGGCTTGTTGGGAAGTTCTCCTGAGTCGTTTTCTCCTCTAGCAAAAGAAAGGGTGGGGCCAGAGCATCCCAGAAGGTGCCTCCGCACCTGGGCTCTGTGTTCTGGGGTGTTCTGTGTGTCCAGCCCTCTCCTTTGAGGCCGTGAGTCACCTGACATTCTTCCGCCCCCTCCCAGCTCCACAGCCTGACAGGGGCCGTCCCAGCAGTGATAGTGACTGCTAATGATGAGTGACAGCACAGTGAGGGGTGCCTTAGGACAGAGCAGGGGTGGGTGTGGGGGGAGGGGGAGGCCAGAACCTGACACTCTTGCAAGAGTACTCGCTACTTTTTAGTCACAAGGGCACAGACTTGCCTCACAGCCAACTCAGGTCCCCCTGAGTTCTGTCCCCACAATGTAACCTCTCCCGTCAGCAGAGGGGTGTCCCAGCGTGCTCGCAGCTGCTGGGTCCAGCACAGGCGCTCAGAAGGAGAGTGCCCACATGGCGACAGCCCAAGGGACTGACCATGCCAGGAGCCTGCTTGATACAAGGGGACAGAAGCGCGTTCTGGGCGGGAGTGCCGTCGCAACCAGCCTCTCTTTAGGCCGCAGGCACTGGGGAAGGTGCACCGAACCGAACGGTTCCAACTCCCTGAGCAGCTAGCTGGCTTCCGAGAGCCCCCTGGGTCCCTGTTTCTCTATCCCAGTTGGAAAGAAGGCGGGCTTCCAGCTCTGGGGTACCGAGTCCCAGCCTGGTAGATCCTGGGGGCGGCCTCTTTCATCTGCTCTTCCTTCCCAGGCTGCCCCTCATCCCTGCCCGGCCTTGATTTGTCTCCAGAGCCTGGCCTCTGGTCAGTGCGCGTGGAACTGAGCCTCTGCTCAGCCATGGAATCCCCACTTCCCCGCTCCCTGCCCCCAGCTGGCTCCTGGGAACCCAGTGTTTTATGTGAGTCCTCCCAGAGGAAACAACCTTATTAGAAGTGGGGAGAGCTGCAAAGGTAGGGTTACCAGGGGAAGGGGCAGTCTTCTGGAGGGCCTGCCCCTCATGGTGAGTGATGAGCCCAGCCTCTGCTCACAGGCTTACGAGGGTCCTGGCCACACCTGCCATGGCGGGTGGCCGGGACCCTCACCAGGACGGGTTCTGTGAGGGAACCCTAGCGCTCGGGACAGGCCTGCATGTCCACCCTCAGCCCTTCGGGGAGAGCAGGGAGAGAGCAGAGGGGCCCCAGGACAGAGCTTTAGGGTTCGGAGCAGCCCCGGTAGTGCCCTCAGCAGTCCGGCCCAGGGCAGACACGCGTCTGCACCCCACAGGGCTGGCCAGGCCTCACGCCTCGCTGCTGCTGCGGGCACCTGCGCCTGTTGAGGTGGGCTTTGCCCACGCATGTGTTCACGTGCACGCCCGTCTTCTCCCACAGCCAGGATGACACATGCATCTCCGTGTCGTGTACGTGTGCTCACGTGCGAGCCTGGCTCAAGCGGGAGCCTGCAAAGAGTGCGTGGTGATGGGACGCTGGGTCCCCTGGGGACCCAAGAGGCAGGGTCACGTGGGCCTGGGCTCCAGAGCCGGCCTAGGGGCTGGCCTGAGAGGGCTTAGGGCTCAGTTGTACCAAAGCCTTTCTTGAGGTCCTGGCTTTATCCTTTCTCAGCCCAAAGCCTGTACTGTGTAGCCCAGCACGCAAAGCTTTGCTCCCTGGAGGCCTCAGAAAAGGCTAGAGAGACAGTGTTCCTTCCTTCCCTACCTTTGTGGTTCTCTTTGTGGCCTCTCCCCATGAGTTGGTCGTGAGGACCAACAGTATTTGTGTTCTTGGCTGCCACAGGCACAAACCAGACCACTCCTGTGCCCGCAGCCGGCGCAGACCGAAGTGTGGAGGAAGGAGGAGGCAGCCGTGCGGACAGGGCTGGGCTGTATGTTTGTTTCCGTGGTTCTGACCCTGGCTGTTCAGAAGAACCCCTGGGGGTTACTGGTGCCTGGGTCCACCCAGCGTCTAAGGCCGCGGCTCAGGCGTCAGTGCTTTTCACAGTGTGTAGCCAGTCCAGATGACCTCTGAGAGACGTGACGGTGAAAGATCGCTAACACAGACCTGTGTTGGTCTGGGGACACTCACATGCACGTCTGTGTAGTAAAGGTATAAAGATGAGCAGCGGAGCAGAACGAAATCCAGGTGCAGGAGGCAGGGCAGTAACGTGGGAAGGGGTCGGCTGTCATGTTTCATTTCTTGAGCAGAGTGGTGGGAACATGGTGCTATTTCATATTTTTTGGTTTGGTTGAAGTAGTTCATCATAAGTTAATGGGGGAAAAAAGATCATGGATTTTGCAGTCGGGCAAACGTGGGTTTTAAGTTCACTTCTGCCACTTACTGGCTGTGCAGCTGGGCCAAGCACTTAACCGCTCTGTTCTAGAGGGGGTTTAGTCTCGCTTTGGTTTAGTCACCTGTAAAATGAGGCTCCCAGGGCTGCATGAGGATTACCTGTGAAGTGCTAACATTCCTGCCCTGCCTCTGCCCGGAGCGTGCCTGCCAGACTTGAGACCCAGAATGGCCCTTGGGCGGGGCCAGGCTGCTCACTTCCCCCTGGGCCTCAGACTTCTCCATCACAGCAGGACCGCACCACCTCCTTAGGCAAGGGGCCTCTGAGCCGGTGTCAGTGCCGGAAACACCCGTTCCTTATGGGTTTCTTTGCAGGAGTGGGAGGAGGGATGACTCCAGGGAAGGGCAGTTTAGCCACCCCTCCCTCTGTTTTTAGAGCCCTTTGTGGCCTCTCGGCTGAGGGGGGGAGCAGGGCAGTGGGGAGGCGGGGCACAGCTCTAAGAGGAATAGACAAAGAGATCTTCCTCAAAGCAAGGTAGGAAGGTGATGAGGGAGGGAGGAGCCTCCCCACACGGAGGGACGCCTAGGGCTGGACAGTTGCGCCTCTGGGGGAGCGCAGCAGGAAAGCGCCCCTCCCCGCACATCCCTTCTCACAGGGATGCTGGTTTGGGGGCTGTGCAGGAACATTTGGACTTTAGTGCAACCCAGCAGCCTGTCCCCTAGGAAGGTGGGAGCTGGGGAGGCCACCCCCTGCCCCCGCCACCCCAGGCAGGCAGACTGGCAGGTCTTCCGTCTGAACATATGCTCACACTCTCACACATGCAACACGTATGTGCGTGCCAGGCCTGGCTGTGGGGTAAGGAAAGGAACTCAGACACCATTCTCTTTGTGACAAGCTTAAAACACATCATGGCTCATTTTTACTTTATCTCAGGGGAAAAAAAACAACAACACTCCCTTCAGAAGGAAAGGCGGTTAGACAGGGCCTCCACCCAGGCAGCTCTGAGCCACCTGGGCTCCCCCCCACCCCACCCCCGTGCTGGCCAGCCCCGACCTCCTCCCTCCCCTGCGCCCGCGCCCTGACACCGCTGTTACAAGTCGCGCGACCTCGCGTGGGAAGCGCGGCAGCAGGAGAGGGGTGCCTGGGACTCCCTGGGCCAAATCCTGGTGCCAGGTTAGCAGCAGGACCTAAACAGACCCGGCAGCCAGGGAGGAAAGATAAGAAGATACAAAGGGTTTCCTCACACACAGCTTATGTTTTCTCCTGGAAAAAAAGTCAAACGTCACCTCCAGGCACAGCAGCTCCTGAACCCTTGGAAAGTCTGGGGCGGGTGGTGTGTCTGTGGCAGGGGGCCTGGGAGCTACTCCCCAGCCTCAGCCAGCCAGCCTGCTCTGCCACAGCTGCTCTGCTGAGGCACGGTGGCACGTCCAGGTGCTTCCGGAGTTGGGGACCAGCCCTGACCAGCCAGGTGCTCTGGTGCTGGAGCCCTGGCCTGGTGCAGCGCCTCCCAGCATGAAACGTCCGCTTCCTCGGACTCCATCCCCTTCCTGCTGGGCCTCATGCTGCTCCAGCCGGGGCTCCCTGCTCTCAGTCCAAAGTGGGAACCGGCCACGAGAGGGGTCTCCGGCATGTGCACGCTTCTCCCAAACGTGACTGGTTCCGCCAGCCAGCAAGACAACGATCCCCTCCATTTGGAAGGGGCAGACCCAGTGGACTATCAGGACACTCCTGCTCCATCCTGGGCTCTGGGGCCCTCGAGGCTGGGGGACTCTGGGCGCGCTCCCTCGAGCTCGTGGCTGAGGAGCTCCACGTCTGGGAGGCCCACGTCCCCTCGTGACTCAGGGGCACTCCCTCTACTCACCAGCCCCAGGGCGTAGCCATTGGGCCGCCGCTCGGGCTGGGGGGCACTGCCGTTGGCCCACACCCCAGGGGGGTGGCCGTTGAGGCGGAGGCTGAGCTGCTCTGTGTCGCTGTCAGAAGCTGCCAGAGCCCGGGCGCTGGTGCCGCCTGCCTTGAAGGCCTCTCGCCGCCTCAGAATGTGGCTGCGGATAATCTTGCGGAAGGTCTGGCGGAACTCACGGATGCGGTAGGCATAGATGAGTGGGTTCACCACGGAGTTGGTGTGGGAGAGGATGATGGCCAGGTACATGAGCCAGGGTGGGGCATGCCTGCACTTGGAGCAGAAAAAGGTGAAGCAGTTGATGATGTGCAGGGGCAGCCAGCAGAGGGCGAAGAGCCCCACGATGATGGCCAGCGACTTGGCAGCGTGGACCTCCTTCTGCAGCGTGGACCGAGCCCGCTCGCCTGGCAGAGGCTGGCTCTCCATCTGCTTCAGCTGGCGCCGGGCGGCCAGGAAGATCCGCAGGTAGACGCCCAGCATGAGCAGCAGGGGCACCAGCACACACGCGAAGAAGTTGTAGTACACCATGTAGTTCATGGGGACCACATACTCGAAGAGGCAGGCCACCTGGCCCTGCCCGCAGTCCTGCGACTGGTTCCTGCCCTCCCTCTGCTGGCTGCAGTTGTTCCAGCCCAGCATGGGGGTCAGGCCGATGGCGAATGACAGCACCCAGCAGACCGCAATGATGCCCTTGGCCCTTGTGCCGGTCACCAAGCCATTGTACCTGCGGAGAGGAGACCAGCATCAGAGGCCTGGGAACCAGGGCTAGGAAGCCAAGAGTCAGAAACCCAAAGCAGTACCCCGTCCCCCGTCTACTGGCTGTGAGGTCCTGGACCAGCCACTTGTTGCCTCTGAGCCTCAGTGTCCTCTTCTGTTCAGGGGAGCTCCAGACCTTGCCTTTTCTCACAGAAGGTAACAGGAGAGCAGGTGCCCTGAAAAGGGAGACCACTGCACAGATGTTCGGATCATTACTGACTAGTATTACGAGTAGTCCTGGCACTTAACTAGTTTGGTTTGAGGGCATTAATAAGTGATTTTTTGGTGGGGAGGAAGGGAGGAAGTTATCACCTCCCTGCTGGGCTTAGTCAATGCCAGGATGGGTTTCCCTTTAGAGTGAGAACAGGCCAGGAGGGTAGTCACTGGCTGGGGGCAGATCAGACGTGTAGGTGATTCACATCTCTTGTGCTCCATGCTCTTCCTTCACCACTTAGGGTCTCCAGAAGCCCCCAAGAAGAGGTGGCACAGGTGGGTAAAGCAGGGTTGGAGGTCCCAGGCCAAGTGAGATACCCTCTCTCCCTTCCAAATTCACCCACAGAACTGGAGAGAGATGAGATCAGTCTGTCTTAATTAACATTTATATACAGCCTTAACATTCAAAAGGAAGGAGTTGCATGAGATACTAAGGTCCAGAGAGAACAAGTAATCTGTCCAAAATCACTCAGTCCTCTAGAGAGTCAGACTAGGTCTGAGACTCAGTGAGTGGCCTGCTCTGCTCGTCCAGAAGCTGACCCAGGCTGACAGGTGGCACAGATTTTATTATGAGAACAGGCAATCAAAAAATCATCTCCCTGACTGAGGAAGGTGACCTCAACAGTGTCTGAGGGATGACCTTGTGTTTAATGGTTTTGATCCTGGCAACACCAGACTGCCCTCCCCTCTACCTAGTAAACCCTACCCATCCTTCAAGTTTAGGTGAGATACCTTCTTGGGAAGTTTCTTACTCAAGGTCAGCTAATTGCTACCCAGTCTGAGCTCTCAAGGCTTCCCAGTATCCATCTCTGCATTGCCAGCAGAGACCGAGACAGGGACACAGTAGTATCAAGGAAAAACATGCTTGACTTAATTCCAGAATTGTAAACATCCAGAGAAAACTTAGTCCATGGGGGAGCAAACACAAGGGCCTACAGGTCACAAACATGGCAGGCTGGCAGGTGTCGACCACGCGCAGGAGGCAGCGGACCCTGCTCAGCCAGCCACCCACACCACGGTGCAGCGTGCTGCCTGGGGCTGCCAGCTCTCAGGAGGGGCTGGGAGCTGATTTGCTGGGCAGAATCCCCAAGGTTAGTCGTTGTCAACTAATTCAAATTAAGGAGGAGGGGGAGAACCTAATGGACTCTGGCCTCTTATCTAGTCCAACTCCCTCATTGTATAGGTGGGGAAACTGAGGCCCAAGGAGAGGAATCGACTTGCCATGGACATTCCAGAAATCCAGAGGCAACTTGGACCAAGGTAAGCTGGTCAGTTCTGAATACAGGGGGTAGCTGGGCAGGGCCGTTCCCAGGGGGTCGGGCGCCTGCACCAGGCTCGGCAGGCGGAGGGCGCACCCCTGTGCACACCTGCCCGGACTCACAGGGCCTGCGCCGCCCCGCCTGCTCTGGAGCCTCAGACCTGAGGTCAGAGGCTGGGTTTTTTTTTGCCATTTAATGCTTATATACCACTTGCTCTGTGCCAGGCAGTTTTTAGTACTCTACAAATAGTAATTTATATAATCTCGTTGAACAGGAGGCTCTTTTTTAATGTTGATATTTTTCCTGAGCAAAGGAGACTCTGGGTTCTCGCGCTGGTGCATTCGTGTTTAGCCATGTTTTGTCACTGTGCCTCTTTGAACATTAGTTTCCTCATCTGTAAGATGGGACTAAGAATCGGGCCTGGGAGCACTGTCCCAGGAGGGCAGAATGTAGAATCAGTGGGTGGAAGTTACAGGACAGTGGACTGTGGCTCAGTAAGTGAATTCATCCCTCTGGAAACTGGCTGCCTCGGGCAGGGGTCAGCTTCCTGTCGTTTGAGGGCCACAAGAAGAAACAAGCGGTAGCTGGGAGGGTGGAGGGCCTGGAGGCCACCTGCTTTGGGGATTTTCAAATTGTTCTCCAGCAGCAACCTTCTAGCTTGCATTCCCAGGCAGTCACGGAGGTGGAGCTACTGAGGAAGAGTGGGGCTTAATAATATTCACTGAATGAGTGAGTTGGTGAGGAAGCCGGCACCCAGCCTGAAGGCTTCTGGGGATCTCCCTGAAAAATCCCTGCTCTGCCCAGCAGTCTGCATTGATGAGGAAACCAATGAAGGGATGTCTGCCACTGCATTCTGTAAAGGAAGCCCCTCATGGGGACAGAAACAGCAGACACATTGACAGCACTTGTCTGTGTGTGCAAAGAACGTCTGGCAAGACTCCCAGCGCTGCCTTCCAGGAAAGGAGCTGAGATGGCGCAAGGGCGACAGTTCTTCCCTATACTCTTTTCTTCTTTTTTGATGTTTTAGTACATGTGGCTATTATTTAAAAAAAAAAAAACACCAAATAGATTAATTTTGTTATTTAAAAGACAGCCTCTTAGGCTGACAGCCCTGGATCTAGGCTTTCGCGGGAAAGCCATATGGCCCAACAGAACCACAGCCAGGCCACAGCCTGGCCCTGCAGCACCCTGAGCTGTGTCTGTGATGGAGGCAGTCACTCCTTGGCCTCCTGAGCCCAGACATGAACTGTCTGGTGGAAGGGGTATCAAGGCTATCCAGCATCACGCTCTGCTGTTCTGAGGAGCCCAGAGGTATCCAAGAAGCCAATGCCAGAGCCCCCACATTTGAAGGTGCCTCTGCATCCTATGTCCTCCAGCTCACAGGGTGCCCTTTCCTGGAGCTCCCCATTACTCACATTTGGGGTTCACCCTATGATCCAAGAATGCCCACCACAATTTTTGCCCTATAATCAGGAGAAGGTGGTGCTTTCCTAAGTTGTCCAAAGGATTCAGTAACCAAGAACTGAAGGGCCATTGACCCACGGGTGAAAGTCAGACTTCTGGCACAGTTAGGCCTGAGCCAGTGTCACACCCTCCCTGCTGGCCTGTTCTCCTCTGTCACCTCTTCCTGGCTCAGAGCCTGCGTGCTCATTCCTTCCTCGGCGCCTTTGCCCAGGCTTGGCCCCGTCTTGTTACACCTGCCCCAACACATGCCGCCCGTCTGAACACAACCCACCTCCAACCCCACTGACCCGTGGTGTCACCTCCTCCAGGAGCCCTAGTCCTCTCTCCCGATCCTGCCCTCCTTAGAAGCCAGAATATTCAGGTTTTGTCCCCCACCCCCACCCCAGGGCAGCTCACCACACAGGACTCTGCTGCCCATAGGAGGCCTGTTTCCCAAGGAGAGCAAGCGGTCACCAGGGGCCAATGTGACAGACAAGGGGTGTGAAATTCCCCTGGGAAAAGAAAGCCCTTTTTCTCTCGCCCTGGGATTCCTGTTCTCTGGGAGTTGAAGTGCTCCCATCACTGCCTCTGGCCAGGCTTCTGTTTCACTGACTTCCTGAGCAGGCCCAGCCCTAGCCCAGCAGGGTCCCTGCAGTTGGGAAGGAGCACATAGAGTTTTCCAAAACTAAATTATTTAAAAAAAAAAAAGGGAAAGGAAAGAAGAGAAATGAATGGTGCAGGCCTGGGACTAGGCATCCAGAGCAGAGGTCAGAGGCCAGAGCTCAGAGCAGACGAATGGACCTACTGAGTGGAGCAGGAAATTACACGCAGGGGAGCTGATTCCCAGCTGGAAGGGGGGGCAGGGCGGGGCGGGGCAGGGGTGGCTCCAGGTTTCTGTCTGCCTCCATCTGGTCACCCCTTATGGCCATCTCCCTGTCAAGAGCCCCCAAGGACACCTTCACACACCTCAACCTCCTCAGCCCTCGCAGGCCCAGGCGAAGAAGAGGAAGTGGGGGGACCCAGGGGGGTCTGGAGCTGCGGGAAGGGCCCTAGAGCCCCCACATCAGGAGGCATTTTTCCTTCTCCTGTTCTGGCCTCCCCATGAGTAACAAGAGGGTCATAACATCCGCTTGGCCACAGTGCTGGCCGGGAGGATCAAAGGAGACGCTACACTGACATCCTCTGGCAGCCGTGGTGCGCTCTGCCCCGGGGGAGGGTGAGCATCCTCATCACCGTCATCCCCATTGGCTCCCAGATCCGAGAGACCCAGGCTGACCCTTCCAAAGCCTAGTCAGTCAGAGCTCAAACGGCCAGGGTCTGGGTGGAGCCAGGTCCCGCTTTGGAAGGTCGTGGGAGTCGAGGATGCAGCTGGGGCTGAGGAGGAAGCGCCAGGTCCAAAAGGAGCTGAGTCCCCACCCACCCAACCCTGCCACCCTTCCTCAGGGCACTGTCACTCTAGTCCACTCACTGGACCCTCAAAACACCTTTGTGAGCTCAGAGGGACAGAGACCTGGCCCCTTTACAGATGAGGAAATGGGCCCAGAGGGTGGCAGCTGACTTTCCAGAGTCACAAATCAAGTCCCTCCTTTTGCTTCGGGGAGTCATTCTTCTGACTCCTAGAAAACAGAGAGGAGAAAAAGAAGCAGCGGCCCTTTCTACTGAGACCAGCGGACCTGTTCTCTCCCTCAAATCCGCTGCCCCTTGAATCTGGGAAGAAAACGAGAGCAAGGCCTCTGCTCTCCCCCAGGCCCGGCTCAGCCCACCCTTGGCCTGGCCGCAGTGTGGACGCCAGTCCACCTGGGAGCCGTCACACAGGCCTGTGCTCTGAGCTGTCCCTCAGTGAGCTCTGCGCTGCCCACTTAGGCTGGCCCTCTGTTAGGCCAGCCAGGGTGCCTTTCTCTTTTGACAAGGGTCCTAGGCTTTCCTGAGACAGAGTGTCCCAGAGGGCCACACAAAGACCAGCTCCCCAAAGACCGAAGGCTCAGAGGGCAGCAGGCACATTTCTTCCCAGGCCCAGTCCCGACTCTGCTACCAGCTCGCTGTGTGGCCTGGGGGGCTGGTTGCCTCCCCTGAGCCTCATTTTTCCATCCAGAAGATGAGAGGAAATGACCTCTAAGGGCCCCCTTGGGTTTGACACTGCAAATCTCCTCTTGCTCATTGAGCCTGTCCCCCCTCCTGGCCAAGCCACCCTCAGGCCATGTGGGGCTGGTGGGGCCTGTTCTGTAGGTAGGCCCCCACCTGTTTCAGAGGATTCACTGCTGGACGGGGCACAGCATCCTTTGAGACCTGCCTGCAGCCACCGAGGCTGTGGAACCCAGCTCCAGGTTGGAAAGGCAAGGAGGTAGGGCAGAAGGCCCTCCTGGGAGGGACACTTTCTAGCTTTCTCCATGGCAGGAGGTGGAGGCTGCATTTAAGTGAACTCAGCCTCAGGGACAGTCTTCATTTACACAATACATGGCTGAAGTCACTTCACAAAAGTTTTACCATAAAAACCCCAGTCCTCCAACCAGCCGCCAGCTGTCTCGAGATCCTGAGCAGTTGGTGACTGAGGAGCACAGAATTTGCAGAGGCCCAAGTGACTCACCAGGGCGTTTAGCCAAGTCACTTCCCCTCTCTGGGTCATTTTCCTAATGTGCAAACTGCAGGCCGGCCGGGAGGGGCAGAAGAAAAGCAGACAGGCTTCTAGCTCTGAGCTCCTGTGGTTTCCCGTGGTAGCCACCCCGCCCCAGCATCACATTCTGTGAAGAACCGCCCGGGCACACACACCCAGGCCTTGGCCACACACATCTGCCAACAGCCAAAACATGGCAGCCTCAACCACATAGCCTGGGGAAGCCTGGGGAAGGCCAGTGTGCCCTGTGCCCACAGGGATCAGCTGGAGTGGCATGGATGCTGGCCACATGCTAAGCCCTGGGCAGCCCCAGACTGAGCTCCACGGCCCTGTCCTCAGCTCAACATACTGACACAAGGCCAAACCCTGACCCCAAGTTCACCCTGGCACAGGCAGCCGGTCTCACAGATGTGGCCCCCAGCACGAGGCATGCCACGGAAGAGACCATGGGGCAGCCCCCAATCCCCAGCTCACCGGAGTGGGATGCGGATGGCGATGTAGCGGTCAATGGCGATGGCCAGGAGGCTGAAGATGGAGCTCTGCGTGAGGACCAGCACGAAGCAGGCAAAGAAGAGGCAGCTGTGGCAGGCGGCACAGAACCCCATGCTGATGGTGATGGCAAAGGGGATGGCGAGGACCCCCACAGCGATGTCAGCCGCCGCCAGGGACACCACAAAGTAGTTGGTGACGTTCTGCAGGTTGCTGTTCAGCCACACAGCCCAGCACACCAGCACGTTGCCCAGGATGGCCAGTACAGCGATGGCCAGCTCCACCATGATGTACACCCAGGAACCCATGGTGGGCACAGCCGCCGCTGGGCGGGGTCAGCAAGGACGCGGGCCGGGCCAGCTCACGGTCCATAGCTGCAGCACTGCCGGCCCTGCCCAGGCCCTGAGCCCCTTCTTCACAGGAGCCAGGGGCGTCCCTGCCAATGGGGGGCCGCCTCTAGGGCCTTTTCAACCCAGCCTCCAGAAGCCAGGCCCTCTCCAGGGGCTCTGGCGGCATCTTGGCTCAGCTCGGCCTGAGTTCCTGAGGTACCTGCCAAGGGAGAAGCCTTGTGAGGAGCTGGACCGCTAGCCGCAGGGCACAGCTGCAGATTTCCGGGACGGCCCTCCGCGCAGGCCAGGTGTCAGCCGGAAGCCCACCTGCTGACCCGCAGCACCCTGCCTCTCCCACCCCTAACAGAGGCCGGGGACCAGCCCGTCTCTGCGTTTCTTCCGGGGAAGCCGGGAACTTCCAGTCAAGTCACTTGTGATGGCCCCCCATCAGCTCCTCAAGCATTCTGTGGCAGTCCTGCCTGTCTCCCAGGTTCCTGAGCTCACCACCACCCCACAACCCTCCGTCCTGGAAAGGCCTCCTTAACCCCCGGGTCTCCCAGGGCCACCCACCTCTCCCTCTCAGCCTGCTTCCGTCTGCTGCACCCCCAGAGCTCTTCCTGGGAACCACCAGCACCTTCCTATGCTGCCCACAAAGGAGCTGCCCAGGGGCCCCTAGAGCTCCAACCTGGAAGGACCGGGTAGCTGTCTGGTCCTGTCTTCCACTGCCAGCAGGCAAGCCCCCTTGCCCTCACTGGTGGTGCTGGAGCACAGGGCGCTGGAGCTGGCACAAAGGGAGCCACCCCTCAGCAGCCCCCGCCAGCTGACTGCACATCTGGGCGGGGCAGCGGCCTCCCCCTCGCTCCTTCTACCCACGCCCGCTCCCCAGCCTGCTCCTCGGCCTGGCTGGTACACTCAGCCAGGACTTGCTGGGAGACTGCAAGCAAGAATGTTTTTCCTTTCTGGGTCTCAGTTTCCCCACTGACATATTGGAGAGGTTGGACCCTGATAGTTTCTGGGGGCCATTTCAGTTTTCACCCACAATTCTATGAGAAGAAAATAAACATGCTTGAAAGGGCTCCCCCAGAGGCAAAATGTCCTAGAAATGTTAAGAATTAGTGACACTCCATAAAAGGAAAAGTCTTAGTCTCCCCAGCCCAAACCCCCAGTGACGCCCACCCACCAAGCTTGTGAAATAGTCTCTGTCCCCCTGCCAGCCCAGGGCCCCCTCCCTGCCAACTCTGCCCCCCGTCACACTCATCTGTGCTGCCCGGCGGTGTCCCCCAGGCCAAGTCCACCCCCTCCTTTGCCCCAGGCCCAGGTGTACACGGGCAGTGTCTGCTGCCTGCCTGAGGACAAGAGGCTGAAGCTGCCTTTCAGCCACTCGCTGTGGGGTCAGGGCTGCATCCTGCCTCTCCTCCAGGACCCGAGGGATCAAGTGGGACCGGTAGCCTTGGGAAAAGGTCCCTGGCTGTATTCAAAGGGTCAGGCCCCCCCATCCAGGAGATGATGTATGAACCCCGTTTCCTTCTAACTCCTATGTGCTTCAGGTGGCTGGAGCTGGGTGGGCGCAGGCTGCAGCCACACCTGAGAGTCATCCCTGTGCCCACTAGGAGGCTTAGAGGGGCGCGCCCAACACCAGGGAGCAGGAGAGAGATGAGGAAGCCCCTGAGAACCTAAGGGGTTCCTGCAGCCGAGGGCTTCTCCCAGGCCTGGCAGGGGCATGGCCACAAACGAGTCCCACTGAACCCCTGCTGTGCACAGGGCGCTTGCCAGCCAGCTGTTTACACAGCGCGTCACTGATGGAGGCAGGGCAGACCAAGTCTCCTGGTCCATCCCTGGCTACACAATGCTCCCGGCCTGCAGCCCAGAGCAGCGTTCACCAGGGGCACCCTGATCACAGGGGCTATGTGTCCAGGGTCTTGTCCTCCTTCTGCAGAAGAGAAGTGGCAGTCCCAGACCTGCCTCCCATCTAGGGGTCTCCCACGTCCAGCACCAGTAGGCCACTGTCCAATCAGGCCCGGTGAGCCCCAGGGACCCTGCCTCCCACCACCAGGGAGCCCCCCCCGCCTTCCTGGCCTCTTCATAAGGCCCTGTTAACCTCCTTACCCTGGCCTCAGCCAACAGCCCAGGGCAGAAGCCTGGCTTGGCCCCAGTCTGTCGTCCAGATACAGAGGGCTCTGCTGGGGACAGATGAGGTGGGACTGCCAGTGATCCACCTGACTCAGAGAAGTACATTTTTGTGAGCTGAGGCTGGGCTGTGTGGCCCCACTGCCCAGAGCCCTACTGATGGGGTCCCCCAACTAGCACCTACCCTGGATGCTGGGCTGACTCCACGTGAGCCGGGCTGCCTGGCATGGAAGGGCATTTGGGGACCCTAACCCAACCCTCTGTTCAGTGAGGGTCTCCTGGCAGCCCCGAGTGCCTGCCTGTAGCCCCCCAGTTCTCAGGGTCTCCCCACAACCTTCTATACTGTGGGCTCCCAGGTCTACAGCACCTGGCACCAACACCCTTCCTGCTGTCCTCCAGGCTGGGGTGCCCGTCCAGGTCTCCCTGGATGCAGTAGACCCTCCTGCCCATGTCAGTCCTGCAAGGAGCCAGACACATCTAATGCGCCCCGGCTGGCTAGGTCCTAAAAGGTTGCCTCCCTGCACATCGGGCTCCCCAGTGGCCTTCTACAGCTTTCCTGCAGGTCCCCCAGCTGCTGCCAGCACATCCCAGGGTGAGGCTCACTGGCCCCAGGAACAGTCTGGGCATCACCAAACTAGAATCTCCCAGCCCCAAGCGAAGCGTGTCAGTGGAGCCCAGGGCACCGTGAGGCAGGCAGGGCAGGGAGGAGAACGGGAGGAGGTCGGAGCTTCCCAGCTGTCAGCCCAGGGTTGGGGGCACCCTAACTTGTGGCCTTTGCCAGATTTTTGCAATATAAATGCTCCCTTGATGGCCTGTTTCAAGCTTCTGATGTGTCACTGACAGGAATAGGGAATCAACCATACAGTCAGCCAGCTGGGGAGAACTGGGTTCCGGCCACCACCACGCCATCAAGGCCTGTGCTCTCCCAAGGGCTACCAGCCTGGACTCCTCTCCAAACCCTCTTCAATAGTGGGGCTTGCTTGGGAGCACAGGAAGTGAGGGTGCAGGGGCTCTGGGGGTTGTCTGTGTTCTCATCAGCCAACCCCATGAACCCCGCTTTACAGATGAGGGATCTAAGGCCCAAAGAGACTATGACCTCCCAGCCTCACCATGAGCATGAAAGGGTGGAACGGAGCTGGGGAAGTGCCCTCGGAAAGCAGCAGCAGGAAGATTCCCGGGGCCTCCTGGCCCCTCTCTGCTTCCCTCCCTTCAGAGGCCTCTAAGAGCAACAGGAAGGTCGGAGGCCTGGGGAGGGGGCTGGGGGTGGGGCCACAACCTGGCAATTTCCTATCCCTCTCTGTTGGCTCTGTCTAATTAATCCTTGAGTCATCTGTTGCTAGCCAGGAGGGGAAATTAAATACTATTAATATAGTGTTTCCCTGTGATTGTCCCTTGCTGGGGACAGGGCAGAGGGCAGAAGCTGTCCCATACAGACTAGGTCACATGCTGGGCAACGTGCTAGATAAGCCTTGGGAGGACAGCCCTGCGGGTTCCCCAGCAGTCACTCAAAACTGCCGCTTCTTCCCAGCTTCCTCCTCACCCTCCACCGGCCTGGCCACATTAATTAAAATGCGATTTAATCAAACCCACCAGTTTCCTGGCTCCTTGTACGTCACACTAGTGAGGCTTTCCGTACACATGTCCAGATGGTGGCTGTACCCCCCAGAGCCTGCTGGACAGAGGTGCCCGCCAGCTTCCAGGCAGGACCCTGCACACCTGCTCCTGGGAGCAGCTATGGGCAGTGCACCAAGACCAGGGTAGGGACGTGGACCTCTCACAGCCGTGCTGGGCCTCCTCCTGGGCTCCCAGCCTGAGAATCCTCCACTACTTCCTCATAGCAAATGTTTCCAAATACGTACTCTGTGCCAGGCAGCATCCCCGCTGCCGGACCGCAGGCAGCTCTGTGCCCCCTGCCAAGCCTTCCCCAGGAGACTGTCCTGAGAGCCAGCTGCTGCCCCAGTATGCAGGTCACTCCCCGCCTCCAGGACTTAGCTCCCACCTAAGAGGAGCCTGCAAGCCACAATTTCAAAGCACAGGAGGAAAACGGAGGCTAAGAAGGCTAAGCAGCAGTGTCAAATATGATTCATTCCTTCCAGAAGAGCTGAAGGTGACAGAGTAATCTACTGATACCTTTCAAAGGCAGTTAGGATCTTCAAAGAGATAAAGAAACAGAATCCATAAGCCAGAATGAGAATGACTGGCAGAAACAAAACAAGAACCAGCAAATATGAGCAAGAAATAGTACAGAATCCTGGAGATGAAAACAGGAATTGAGATGAACACAAGTGACGTGACATGGTGTGCACACAGCTGGGACAGCTAGGGGTTTGAAGACGGCCCTGGGGAATTCTCAGACCGTCTGTGGGGGGGTAGTTGAGAGAAATGGAAGGCAGACTGAGGAGCACTGACATCCTGACTCAGAGCGGAGAAACAGCTGGACAGGCAGCTCAGCTCCAGCCACAAGCCCTCCACTGGCTCTGCCATGACTGGCCTGGGCACAAGCCTCCCAAACCCCAGGGCTCCGGGGCCCACCGAGCCCCTCTCCAAACCCGGCACTCAGGTGGGGCAGTGTCCTCGGGCGCTGCCTGGAGGTGAGCATCTGCTGAGGGGGGTGCCTCTTCCCTCCCTCCCTGAAGGGCTGCCAGAGGCTCCAGCTTCAGGAACTCAATGTGGGCTGGGCCTGCGGTCCCCAGGCAGGTCCCAGCGGTGTGCCCTCCCCTACGGCCCCTTGGGTGTGCAGCTGCTGCTCTCAGTGCCTGGGGGCAGGATGTGGGCAGGAATGCAGCTCAGGGCCCACTCACTGCACGGAGCCCAGCCCCTAGAGCAGGCTCCGGGCGCGCCAATGCCCTTCTCCCCACTGGGGGCCTAGAATCTCCCTCCCATCCCCTCGTGTCCAGGCCAGATGCCAGAGAGGCTGCCGGCTCCCAGACTGAGGTGGCCACCTCACCTGACACCCCCTCCAAGGGGCCTCTCCACACACCAGGTGCCGGGTGCCCCACCTTGTGTCGGAAGGAACCCAAGTGAGGTCCTACTCCGTCTCACACTCCCCGAGACCCGGAGCAAGAGGCTTCCCCTTTGCACCGCAGCTCCTCACAGGTACAACAGGCCACAGTGAGATGGCACCTCCCTCACGTGAACCCTCTAATGGCAGGATGACAGGCACCATGATGCCTGCAGAGGACAAGATGGGGGGACGCTTCTCAGTGGCCCTGGGAACAGACCCTGGTGGGTGAAAGGCTGGCCTGCTGAAGAGGCAGCGCTAGGTGCACGGCCCCAGGGACTCCTGGGGGGTGGCTCCACTGAGGACAGGAGGGGGCGGGCCCACTTCTGGGGTCCCTGGGACACAGATTCAATGATGCAGCCCTGGAGGCTGAAGGGAAAGGGCCAGAGGGTCAGACAGACCAGCTCAAGCACGGCCCTGCCTCTGCTCCTTGGCCCACTTGGCTCCTCGTACCTGGCTCATGGTTTGCAGAGGCCACCAAAGGGCCATAGATGAATGCTCCTGTGACAGATGGGCAGAAGATACCAGCTGTGGGGGTCTCTGGCAGAGACCACCAGCCCAGACACTAGGGGAGGCACCAGAGTGGCACTGAGCGCCCCTCCGTGGCACACCGAGGCAGCCTTTCTTCCAGGTGACGGCTGCGCTGAAGGGAGCAGCAACTTCTGAGACAGGCCTGTCCTTTAGAAGGAGGCGTGGGCCAGAGGGATCTGGAAAGGTTCTCAGAGGAGGGGCTGCTGGGGCTGGACTGGGAGGATGGAGAGGAAATGAGGGCAGATTCCAGGCAAAGTCCACAGCCTGTTTGAGGCTCACGGGCATGTCAGAGAAGGCCTGAGGGGGTCCTGGAATTCTGGAGCATCCCACCTTCCTGACCCACGAGTGAGGGCACCTGCTCTTCCCCTCCATCCAGCCCCTCCGGTCCCTGTTGGGACCCCTTCTGTGATTCTGTGGGCAAGAGCTGGGTCCTCTGCTACTAAACTGCCCCTTCCCACCATCCAGAGCCCCCAGCCCTGCCCAGGAGGTGAGCAGTCTCTGGGAGGCTCCTGCCCACTCCCCACTTCCCGTCCATATCAGGCCCAGCACGGACCTCCAGGGTCCCACTCTCAGGCACCACACTTCCACTGCTCCCTCCAGCCTCCAGATCATGGGGCAACACCTCCCTTCTGTGGTCGCCAGCACTTCCCTGGAGCCAGACCCCTTCCCTAGGGGCTCGAATTCGTCCTTTTGCCAACTTAGCACCTGACCCTAATGGTCCCCTCAGGCTCCCCTGACACACACACCAGAACCTCTTCTCATCCTGTCCTTCAAGCCTCTGCCTTCCTCCTGGCCATGCTCCCCTGGGCTCTCACATGTGCACATCTTGCAGCAGACAAACCAGACCCCACAAGACGCTTGGGGTGGCAGTCCCAGCTCACTGGGAGTCAGGTGGCTCAGGAATTAGGCAAGTTAAGTGGGAGCAATAGCTGCTGAGGGACTTCAGATCACTGCTGAGAGCCACCGGGGACTGGGATCCCACACAGCAGACACTGCCCAGAGCCACCCAGAGGCCCTGAGGTTTGCAGGGTGTGATGCTTGCTCCCAATGCAAGCTAGTCCACATCTCCCTCTGCCAATAGGGATCCGCTGTGTCCCTCAACCCTGCAAGGCTAACAGCCTCCCTATGGGGTTCCCCAGCTCAAGCACACACTCTAGCCTGTCCTCTGGTCACCCTCAACTCCCACAGTCAATGCCCGTCTCATTTACTCTCCACCACAACCCTGAACATTAAGCATCACTTGCACCACCATGCTTGCTTTACAGATGAGAGGATGGGTTTGCTGGAGCAGTGAGCTGCCTAAGCGAGTCAATCAAGACCAGAACCCAGGTCTGTGCACTGAAATTTCTGGTCCATTGGGCTGCCCTTGAAGCCAGCCACTGCCCTCTCAGGCTGTGGACTCCCAGGGGCAGGACCAGGGTGTGGCTGGGAACCTGCACTTCCCAGGCCAGCATGAGGGAGGCAACGCACAAGCCCCCCAAAGCCCTGCTGGCCCAAAGCCTGCCTCTTGCCAGTCACGTCTCAGCTGCCCTCAGCCTCCCTGAGGCAATGAACAGGGAAGACAGCTTAGCCCAGAACCTGGTCTGCTCTGGGGGGATGCAGAGGGAGGGGCAGTGGCCCAAGGGACGCCAGGACCTGGGAGAGCCAGGGAGACCCTCGAGGCCAAGGGCACCGCAAGGAGGTGGGATGGGAAGCTGGGGTGGAGGCCTGACCCACAGGGCAGAGCCTTCCCAGCCCACCCAAGGCCTCCGGGACCAACCCCAGCAGGACCACGAGGCAGCCCCTACACATCCTCCCTGGCCCGCTGTGCTCCAAAGAATTCTCCACCATGGCCCCCAGGGCCAGGACCCCCAGGGGCAGCCCCGGCTGGGCATGGAGGTGACGTAGAGGGTCTTCTGGAGGGTGCAGAGGCTGGGAGTCCTCAGCAGCTGGACAGCAGAGACTGAGGGGAGGGCAGCCTGAGCTCCAGGAGGGAAGAGAGCGCAGACACTGCGAGTGGAAGCGACCTGGGTGTCGCTGGGGATGGGGAGGGAGAGCCGGCTCAAGGGGCCGGCCTAGTCCTCCCCCGGGGACAGCGCCAGTCCAGGGGGAGGGGGTGGGGACCCGCCTTCCACTTCTTGCTTCTCTCTTCTCCCCCCGCGGAGGCCTCGGCCTCCGCCTTCCTCCCATTGTACAGTCGGGGAAATTGAAGTC